AACAAAATTCCAACTACAAAAGGCCATGAAGTCTTCTTATCAAATAAACTCCACCGTTTGAATTGTTTTTACCCTGGGTTAGCGAAAGTTCATTTTTTTAGCATTTATAGTGACATAATGTTTTTCGTCAATGCTATAAAGTCTCAATTTTGAGTTTTCCGACGAAATAAGCAATATCGGATATTTTTCTATTAATTTTCCGTCAAAAAAACACTTTTTTCCATTTTCCAAAAAAATTCATATTTTCACGAAAAACCAAAGGCCCATGTTTTTTCCCAAATTTTGAAAAAAATTATTTTCCTTCATATTTCAATACAAAGATGCCCTTGATGTAAGACTTTCAAAATGGAGATCCTTTGATCAAAATTCCAAACAGTTATTTCATAATCTCTTATCAAAATTTCGTTTAATGTCGATTTTGCTGTTGTTGTTTTTTGTCTTCAATTATGTTATAAACAAAGAAGAGCTTTAAGAATAATATCATTCAAACAAAATTCGAACTATAAAAGGCCATGAAGTCTTCTTATCAAATATACTCCGCCTTTTGGATTGTTTTTACTCTGGGTTAGTGAAAGTTCATTTTTGTTAGCATTTATTGTATTTAAAAGTCCTGCTTTTATGTTTAAATGTGATTCGTAAACATATCAAGTGATGATTAGAAGTTGTATACACACTACTAATTTGAATGCACTATTGTGCTTGTTTTGTCAATTTATTAGTTTCGTTCTACTTGAGCTGTTCACTAAACGTATACTCTTTACTAATAACATGTACTATAAAATGTCTTATAAACAAATACATAAATTAAAGAAAATGTATAAATTGGTATCTTAAACTCATTTGCAAAACTGGATCCAATTATTGTACATATATCTCCTTTTTCCTGCCTGTATAGTAACTACTGACGATATACCTTTTCACTAGACTTTTGTTGAAATGGAAGTTTCTCACTTGGCATGATATTCTGTGACTCTTTATTAAAAAATAAGAACTAATGACGAATGAATGTTTGAATAGTGAATTTGATGTATTGTTGCTATTTGTATTTATTTCGTTTTTCTTCCTTTTAGATATATTCAATTTATGTTGTATATTGTCATACGAAATAAATAACTTTAAAAAAAACAAGATAGTATAACATTTTTACATTTACTGTAATAATAAGTAAAAATATAATGATGAAAAACACCAAACTCACCTATCAGATAACTCTAGCTATTCATACTATACCTGTACAGTGTTCTCATCCTACTCCATTGAAGAATTATACAAGATGATTTGTTTTCTCAATATCAGATGTATGTGAATTTGATGCCCAGTACTTTATGGACACGTGCTCCGTCAATTTCACCTACAATGTAAGTACGTTGTATTTTTGATAATAATACATACAAATATATTAAATTTTAAATAGTATGTGTGTGTGTATGTATAAAAATTGTTCGTGAATATATATAATGTTTTCTTTACTATTGAGAGGGTAAAGTGATTTTCATGTTAATATTAAAGTTTTCTTTGTTTCATGAAGTTATTCTAACAATACAAAATGTTTGTATTTGTATATATATATATATATGTTATTGTTTCTATTTCTTTTAAACAGTGTCTAACTACTATTCGTCTTATTGTAATTTGTAAAGTACTCTGGGAACGTGGGGCTTGCATAACCCTATGGGATTACATAACCCAAGAGCTACTCTCGTACGTGCTTCGTAAAATGTATTTATAATAATAATTGTATTTTTTTTTATTATTTATTTTTCTAATTCAATTTTAACTAATTTATAGACTACTATACGCATTAGTTAATTTATAATGATAATATATAAACACGGAAAAACAAGTTATAAAGTACATACCAGGGTGTTTGTTTTTTTTTTTACTGTTGATTGTCGAATACTCTTAACCCTAAGTTTTATACTGATGGACATACTGCATTAAATATGTATTTAAATGAATATTGCACCAAAGATAATAAACTGATAATGTAGAAAAGAGCAGAATGTTTCATAAGTAACACAATTTGTTTGGTTTATTCAAGCTATTCAGTAAGTTTCCCATATAAACGAATCTTATATTAAAAGACAAATTGAGTATCTGTTTAGAAAACAAAGTAAATTCATAAATAAAATATTGCCTTGGTATTGGTTATAAGTAATAGATTTAAATATTAGAAAATTATTAACAAATTCTTAAAGGGAGAATATTATAAATGGGTGTGGGAAGGGGGGTTAGACTTTCTAATTCGTGGTTCTGTATCCAAACGGGATTAAAGGGTCTAAATATTAAAAAGGTGTATCTGAGCTACTACAACTGTACAGTTAGTAATTTAAGTTAAATTTCGTACTTATTGGAGTGAAAAAAAAGATTTGCCTCCTTCAGTTTAAAGTCAGAGGTTCCAAGCGACTACTGTAAGAAACATAAAGTGACGATTAAGCTAGGAAGCGAGGGTTAGGTGTATACGTTATGAAACAATCAATGCAAAAAGTTTACCCAATTACCTTTTTTTCTGGATTAAATAGCCCCATGGAACTGAGAAAAATTTGTACCCTGGAGGTATGCATTACGTGTTAAATTTGTCTGATCCAGGGGATTTATAAATTTTGAAGTTTCCCAACTTTTCTTTTACAATTTCAGAACTTAAAATGAGATATTTTACATCAATATTTTCCCCATTCATTAAATGCTGTTGAGGCATGATACTTGTCTCTTCCTTCATAGAAACTGAAGAAACATATAATTTAAATTTTCCCATCTCATAATCTTCCAAGATCAGCTCCTCACTATGATTTTTAAGAGGCTCTATCCCATCCTAAGATTTTGCTTACCCATCACATACCTAAAGAATTACCGATAAAGACTGCGAGATAATTTTTTCTTATGGTTATGGTTGTGTTCATTTATTATTTCCTTCTATCATTCAGTTTATCCATGAATTTTTAGTTGTATTAAAACTCTAAATCACATTAAAGATAATATTTTGTATTTTGAGTAAATATGTATGTATGATGAAACTGACACCAGCTTCCCTAGCACTGACTACTACTAATGTAACAGATTATGCAAATTTATGATCACATGAGATGTATTCTCATGACCTACTCAGTGAATAAATATCCTGCCAGAAGCTTCACTTAAAGAGAGAGTCACAAGACAGTTAGTGAATTATTGTTGTTCATCACTCAATATTGTTATTAATATTGAAAAGTTTTGGGAGTATTGTGTTTGCTTTATTTTTTGGAATTAGGATTTTTCTTTTTGGTTCTTTTTCCTTATTCCATTATTTCAAATAATATAAAAAAATAATAAAAAATTAATTGTAGCAGTGAGTTCATTTTAGACTATTAAAAGATGTGTTGGAGTAATTAATTATATTGAACATATCTTTTGTGTGTCTTATGTTATTAAGGATCCTGTAACCAAAAAATTCGCAGGCTCACAAGCAATTCCATTTTCACTGGTAATTTTAAGGTTAATATTTTCAAACACATATTTCCTGTGAAACGTCAAATGTGGAATTAAAGATGTCATTTTATTAGCAATATATGATTGTGTTGATAATTTACCTTCTAATTTTTATATTCTGTGAAGTCTATGAACAGAAGGAATGAAAAGTGAAATAAGTTAATGTAGATGTGCTTACACAAGATTAAGAACATTTCTCAGTAAATGCTTTTTAAATTATATTTTTCATAACAGATCAAATAAACAATGGTTTTACTTTACCGCCTGATAAACTTTATTAGTCTACACTGTTCTGTATCTTTAGCAAATTATTTTAAGAATGGGGCTGAAGGAGCATCTTTATGTCTTTTGTAAATCCACTTCCACAGAGGAACCTCATGCTTGTACTCAAAAGGATTAGGTCGATTACTCAGAAGTCTTCTCAATCGTTCACGATCAGCTATTTTCTCCTCCTCGGATCTTGTGTCTTCTCCAGTGTAGGGTTTTAAAGAAAATTCACTTTGTTGTTTAGGAGCCTGAACAAAGAACTTCAAAAACACCTTAAAAACATCGTCATTAAGACCAGTTACTTCTCCATCAACGATATCTTCAAACAGACGCATGGTACCAGATGTCCAACAAATGTTCTTATGAGTATTGTGATCTATATCACTATGAAAACTCATAGTGTTCAGTTGGTAGACAAAAAAGTCCCAGTCTTGACCATTGGTAATTACAGTTTGAGTGACTAAAGGATAAGTCAACTCATTAAATGGTGTGAAACCTGGAAATATACATACAAAGAAATTTATTTCTTAATATTTGTTAAACTAATATTCAACATTTGAATAAAATACAGTATAGACAGTCTCTAGATATATAACTGTTTATCTTTCTTTTTTGATTAAGTTTTACTTTACAAGTCTGAGACAAAGAAAATTACACACACATGATGAAACTGAATAAGTATTAAAATAAAATAATACTAAATCACAGTTAAAGCAATCGTAAACACTCAATTGCAGTTACAATCCAAGTATCAATACATTAACTTGACTCAAGATATACAAAAAAAGGCATTCTTTGAAGCATCTTTATGTTAACAACTTCAGTTCCAGTTAGTATGTTTTTAAGAAAAACTAAGACAAAAATTAACCAATTAGTTAACAAAGTAGAAACTACAACTGAAAAATGTTTAAAAAACCTGAAATGGAATAATAATGTTAAAAAAAACCAAATCTCTAATACATTACCTATATAATTAGTATTATTTACTGATAATCTTTCCAAAAAACAAGAGGCCAACACAGAGAATGCTCAATACAATGGAAGTCTATACATTGTTAACTTACAGCATTGTTGCTTCACTCATGTTGTGAGCTTGAGCAACTGACTGCAGGTAGTGAAAGGTGATATAGATGTGGGATGTTGCGAACTTGAGCACCCCATCTCACTGTCTTTACTTATTCTTATTTTTCTTACGTATTTTCTTCTTTCCTTAACATGTGGGACTATCAAATGTAGGTTCTGACTGGTAGTCGAGGTATCTTGACTACAATGTTGTCACCTCCAAAACCTCCCACATTATAGCCTGTATTTTAATGATCTATTTATAACTTATGCAGCATTTTTGTTGGTTTTTGTTAAGGCCTGTTTTAATAATTATAATATATACTCACAATTTGCATCTCAGCAATTTGATTGGCCTATATTGAAAGTTTACAAACCAAGTGTGATGATACTGTTTGCAACCTTTTACATTGTGGGTAAGCTGGAAATCGAGGCCATTTTAAATTTTCCATGGAAAAAAACAAAAAATGAAGTCAGATCTTTAAAGGTGAAGTTTAAAGGCTGTTAATCCGGTAGCATTATGCTTACTATGAGATATTAAGTTAGCTTCAATATTACTGGTTTGAAGTACTTTTTGTTACTGATATTTTCACCTAAAAATGATTTCATAAGGATGTGAGTATCTATAAAGAAAAATCTTTTCAAAAACGGAAGTAAATGCAAGGCTGGCTAATATCAGTCCTTCAAAAATGAATGCAAACAAGATAGTAGGCATTTACACAGGCAATATATATAACCATTCAATCACAATTGAGTTTAATTCATCCTATTTTTGTATGTTAACATTTTACTAGCACTATGTGCTTGATATATGTCAGGATGATGCAAATGTCATCTCTACTGTCATGTTTCTATTAGTTTTGACAGACTGATATTAGCCATCCTTTTTTGAAAAGTTTACTTGTTTGCTTTTTCTAAGTGCAATGTTAGAATAGACATAGGAAGGTTATATTTATAATCAAGTTTTAAATCCAATGAGGTTCCAACTGTAACATTTATTGTTTATCTGTTATTGGCTGGTAATTCCTGTTTCACCCTGTACTTAAGCTTTTCAAGGAACACCAAATTTCTCTAGGAAAGCCAACTTCAAGGGGTAATGATAACATTGTTTACACTAGAATTATGATTTTTTTTAATTACGAGTTAATAATACTTATAAAAGTGGATACTCTGTTGGAAATTATGTTTTGGTTTTTGAGTTATCGTGCAATAAAAAGAAGCACAAGAAAGAACAACAAGAAATTCAAACTTTTTGCAATGATATTTATAGACATTCCCAGAACTTGCGACTCAGTCAATACATAGATATTGTTATAAAATGAAACACTGATGACCTATTGAAGAGATATCTAAAATACCATTTCGAAGAACAATCCGAGACATCCCTACATAGGCAATGTTACTGCCTGCCTGATATATTTGATATCACAATAAATACATCAACATATGACACGTAACTTACCTTGATATGTAGCGAGGGCCACTAGCCATCCGAATGAAGCCATCATTCCAAAACCATTTATACAGTCCTCCATATCAATGTCAGTCACCATCTTAGCTCGCTTCACCAAACCATCACGGGTATGAAGTGACATATAACCATATTCACATTCACTTCCTGGCCAAAACCCTACCAGTACAATTATATTACTGTATTATAGTATATTCAAAAGTTTTTGTGATGATATAGAATTATCATGTATTAAAGTAATTATAATTAGACATTTTCTCTATTTCTTATCAACTATTAGTCTTTAGACTGATTATATAGATAACAGTTTATACCCAACCTACAAATTATCATTGTAACTGACATATTTAACCCGTGCTTTGTGGGAACTAAAAACAAAACAAACAAAATATGGTATGAAGAATGATAAAACCAGTTAAATGGAAATCTGAATATAAAAATTAGCAATTTTTTTTTCTTTATCATTCCTTAGTAAGTGAAATATTTGTTTGTTTGAAGTTAAGCACAAACCTACACAAAGAGTAATCTGTGCTCTTCCAACCACGAATATCGAAACCCACTGGGAAGCATTAATTGTTAAAAATAAAGTTAATACCAATGAACAATGACATACTGGTCAACATTATTATATACCACAACAAACTTCACCAAACTTACGGAAACAATTCAAAATATTATTTTAAAAGATATCGAGGTAGAATTTATAAAACATTGTATTTATACATTTTTATCTTAATTGGTAAAAAAAGTACATTATAAAACATTCAAATTAATTGATATCTTAAAATTTATTAAATTTGATCAGTTTCCACTTTTTTTACATTAACAAAAATACTGCTTAATGTGTCTTTAACAAAATATTATATATTTTTAACTTGAACATGAAACACAGTTAATGATATGATAAAATCATATGTTCAGACCCACTGTTTACCTGCAACCAAACATCAACCAACACTCTTAAAACCCTTGGGTACTAAAACAGCAACTGACTAACATGGGAACTTACTTGCGTGTTGGTAGACTTCCTTATTTTTTATAATAGTGTAAAGTGAAAATGAAGCCAAAAAACAATAAATTATCACCAGATTTTCACAGAGAAGAAAAAAAAAAAAAAAAAGAGGGGTTTTATGTAGCCTAATAAACTTTGCTTATTAATGTAGAAACTATTTAAAACAACATCTTACTATAAAGGAGCAGTGGTGTGGCTATCTAAATATCTATGTGACTGAAATAGTAAATATAATGGTGCCATCTGTTGTGCTGAAATACAACAATATCTCAATGCCAGAAGTGGTGATTGATGCTTATGAAATGTGGCGCCATCTATTGAATGGTACCACAAACAAAAATCGGTCAACAACTTTCACACTTTGGGTATCCAAATTTGAGACAATTAGAAATATAACTATGATATGTGCAACAACCATTTCTTTGTTTTAAATTATATATTATGTATAAATATATATAGAAGGTTTGCACATAGAAATAAGATATATGGTTATTATTATTAGTAAAAATTGTTAATTTAAAAACAAGGAGTTTTCACCTAAACGCATTGACCAGATGTTAGAAATTCTAGACTTGCAGATAAGGGATTAATGTTCAAAATGTTGTTCTTTGTTTAGACACCTGGGAAATATCTTTATAGAGATTAGCACAACAAAATACAGTATAACGAAGCACTAGTGTTTGAAGAATTTTCTGAGTAAAACTTGATAGAAAAAGAAACATTAAGACAAAAATTCCAAATTTTTAAATCTTTGCCTCAAAATTAAGTATCTAAAGGTAAATAGAGTGAAAATTATACTTAAACCCAACAATAACTTATGTATTCTTATCAGTTTATTAGCATCAACTGTTTCATTTTTTCTGATTCTCTTTTAATGCTATTTTTTATCCAGATCTTATTCTTGAAAAAACAAAACGTGTTGTCTATTGTTATAAGTTTAAGAACTCACAACTAAAATCAAAGGATAATAATACATCAACCACACTACATGTCATATCCAATGTCAATGAGGCCTTTCATCCAATACCAGTGCTCATCAGGCCAGCAAGGATACAACAGAAATACTGGTCGTATAGGTGCTATATACATATATCAACAATTTTCACAAACAATGATTGTTAAGGTAAATCACAAAAGTGTTACGCTGTCTAAATGTTAAAATGCTAGCTCACAAACAAATCACAATAATGAAAATCATTCAAAAATAGAGCTTTGAGGTTCTAATGTATATTTAAGCTGACAAAAGTACACTTAATAGGAGATACATGTAGCATTAATTAAAGTTTTACTATAAACGAAAATGATCCTATATTCACTTTAACGTATATACTAAAGTTAACATTTTCCTACACTGGAAATATATTTCTGAGAGATACTTACCTTCCTCTTACATAATAGCTTTCCCATTCAGTGCTGCCCTCTATATGCACAAATTGTTCGCTCACTACTATCCCCAGTATTCCCACCTATCCCACGTTTAACGTGGTAGAGATATATTATAGCATGAAACAACCCTCCACCAATAGGAGCACATCACACCCTCCTGTTGCAGCTGGCTCCCTCTAGACTGTAGAAATCAAACTACATTTCAAAATTAGAGCACCAGAAGAAGGGAAGTAGGGTGGGAAGTGTATGAGGAAGTATCTATCGGAAATATATTTTCAGTGTAGGAAAATGTTAACTTCCGATACCATATCACTCACACAGTAGCTACAATCCCACACTGACTTGGTGCAGGGACTGGTGCAAACAGTAGCTACAATCCCACACTGACATGGTGCAAACTTATCTAGATGAGCACCTTTTGGAAATCATATGAAGAATGCCCTTGGGTTGTGATATCTCTTGGTAGAGAAACGCACCCGTGGTAGACCTCACCACATCTGAACCAGGCATACTCTTCACCCGTTATGAAAATACGTCGTTAATTTGGGCAGAAAAAGAGCACATCAAATATGCAATTGGCAGGGGATAAAATATCAGGGATCGCAATTTGTGAGTCAAAACAACCCCAGTTGTGAGTCACTTTCCTCTTTACATGGTATAGCATGCATATTACTCCTTTCTCTTGTATGCTGTCATTGACTCCTCCAACAATACAGTTCTTGAAAATTCCCACCAAACGACACATGTGGTGTAATCATACTTTGTCACACACACATACATTTCTTAATAGTCTGTTTGTGATGTATGAAGTGCTCACGGTTGCCTATCCAACTAGATTAGTCTATGTACGTACAGTACATGCACTGCACATTTAGCATTGAGCCTAAGGACCGACCACGTGACCATTTTTACTTGTATATAGTTTTAAAACTATAACTTTTAACAGTATGTGTATCTTCACAAAATTTGACAGACTTTTAGTATACCTTAAAAGTTGTTCGTACACAAAAATCAGTTTTTTAATGAAATATTTTTACAAAGATTTGCCCGTGAACATAGTCTTCGTTAGACCAGTCCGAGTGCAAAATTATTTTCATATTAAGATTAGAAATACTTTTCTTCAACTCAAAAACATCAAATGTCATTTACATAATCTCTAAAACCTCTTAAATACATTTTAAAAGTTTTTTTTTCAGTAAAACTTTGTATTTTATCTGTTATTTTCTCTATGCCAACTCTATCAAAATAAACCTAAATTCATCTTTTTTTTTCCTTCTAAAATGACTTCAAATTGTAACACGAAACTACATTCGTTTATCCTACGTAGCTTTATACTCATAATAGTATACATCTATTTTATTGTTTTATTGCCTTTTGAACCTTGTCTAACTATTAGTACTATTCACACTATTATAAACTGTAAATCACTTGAAGAACGTGTGGCTCACGTTATGCTATCAAATTACGTTACCCACGAGCTGCTCGCATGTGTTCCTCGTGAAATAGTTTTATTATTATTATTATTATGTATTTTATGTAATCTAATCTAACCTTAACTAACCTAAAGAGTTTGCTATTTTTACATTTTAGTTACTTTTATGATAATAAAGAAAGAATATACATGAAAAACAAGAAATAAAGTGCTTACCTGGGCTTTTTTTTTTTTGCTGTTGACTCAAATGACACTTAACCCTACATTTTTTTTTTATACTACTGGTAGTAGTGCATTAAATAATTCACCAAATAACATAAAATATACAAAAGGAAGACAATGTCCCATAACTATTACAATTTCTCTGGCTGTCTAACTATGCAACAAGAAAGTTACAAATTCATCCAAGCTAGTCAATGCATTTCCCCTTGGAAGGAAACTTGTACAGAACACAATGTAATATAATACGTCATTCGATAGATGAAGACCTCGGCTTTCTATTGGTTAAAAATAATATAGTATTAAACATAAGACAGAACTATTGTCAAATCCTGAAAGAGAGGATGTGATAGGTGGGTGTGGCAAAAGTGGTCTGATTTTCTGTTTGATGGTTCTTTAACCAAACAAAATTGAGGGCTATGAAAAATATGCTTTCCCTGATGATGAAAATATTATAATAAGTAATTCAAGGCTATCAAAACTGGTATCGTCCTGTACAGATTCCCCAGAAAAAGAAAAAACTGGTCCGTGATCAGGAAACACAACAGACCTCAAAATAGATCCTAGCTTGGGACATCATAAAAACCGAGATCTCTTCAGCAGAAAACATTAAGCCTGAAGCCCAAAAACCTGCAGGTTGAAATGCAGTGGCAGTATTAACAACATTTGTAGTTGTTGTGAAATAAAATTTGGAAATTAAAATTCAACTGTGAGTGAATACTGAAATATCAACCTACAGTATCTAGTTTCACAGTAGAAGTGAATAAAAATTGTTAACTAGAAACAACTGAATACTGAAATATCAACCTACAGTATCTAGTTTCACAGTAGAAGTGAATAAAAATTGTTAACTAGAAACAACTGAATACTGAAATATCAACCTATAGTATCTAGTTTCACAGTAGAAGTGAATAAAAATTGTTAACTAGAAACAACTAAGAAAGTTGTTTAATGAATGAAACTACGAACACAAAATAAAAAGCAAAATTGTCAAACGTCTGCACTCTAGTGTGCCAAACTGAAAAGGTTCTACAGTACAGAGGGAGCCAGCTGCAACAGAAGAGTGTCACACTCCTATTGGAGGAGGGTTGTAGCATGATAGGTGGAAGTATCAAGACTAGAGGTGAGCAGAAAATATGTGCATATAGAGGGAAGCACTGAACAAGAAATACTATTATGTCTGCAAAGGTAAGTTATCATACTGGAAATGTTCACCTTGAACTAAAAAAAAATCTGTTTACGAATAATAATATCAGATTTATCAAACGTACCAGGTACACTCGTAACATAACGGCGCTCAATACAATGTCCATACACTCTTGGGTGGTATTTTACAGGTGGAATATCATTACCCAAACAAGCTGGATCATCTTGATTAAAAATCTGAAATACAAATTCCAGCAAAAAATATAGTAGCATAGGCTGAAACTTAAGTATTATGGCATAATACATCAAACAATAAATTGCAGAATTACCTTTCTAAACTCAAGTACATTTTTTATAGATAATACTGTTTTACTTCACAAATTGAAAAAATGTTTCCATATTAATAATGTTTAAGTGATGCATCTGTTTTATATGATATAGAACCCTGCTTGTCGATGAAGATCCAACTTTAAAAAGAGCGTAAAGCACTGATTGAGCATCTATATACAATGACTAGAGCTAAGTGAATTCTAAGATCTAACTATAGTAATTTTTTTTAGTTTACAAGTAAGAAGGTAATCATATTTCTTTCATTAATTCATTACAAAAATTAGTGGATTAAGTATTAGGTCATTAAGAAATTAATGTCACATTCTGGAACACTTTCATTAACCACCCCTCATGTATAATAGTTAAACGAACCGCCTAAACGTCACATTGGTGTAGCCTATATAATGTGTAATGTTTAGTATACTCTA